TTAAAATTGATAGCATCGCAAACCCATTCAAATGAATGACATTTGATAAACTAAAACTGACGACGCGTCTAATTATAATCGCACTATGGTACACACACATACACGCTTATCAAACCTTTCTGTCCATTTACTTATTTGAGCTGATTAGCAATAACAGCATTTACGATTCACATTTTGTTTGTTGCTGACGGTCAAAGCTTGACTTTTGTAGTTAACTCAGTCCAATTTGAGGTTTTTAACGGCGTTGCCGTATCCATATAAATCCGTTTTTGAGCACTTTAAAGGAAAAACAGTTGAAATTTGCTCGGAGTATAATTTTCATTTATTGGGATTACTGCATGTGTATATATATTTGCATGTACTTAAAGGCTTATTTTATGGTTTGCGTAATTGGCTGAGGCAGACCAACTGTGAACTTGGATAGATTCTCTAAGAACTCAATATACAGGGCATGCTCGCGAGCAGTTGCCATGTCCGAAAGCTTTCTAGCAAACTCATGGGTAATGCCCTTTTCTTCAAGCATTTCCAGAATCATGGTTTGCAAATTGTCATCAATTAATGATGCATCAATGGTAAAACAGCTATCATTCCAACCGTGATTGTAGAGCGATAGGTCCTGTATTTCAAATACTTCATTCTCTTGAGGTTGCTGATCCAACGACTCCGGCTCCACGTCATCAAAAGCGCCTGGCTTGAATACACAAAATATGGAGAGCAGCAGATCATTCCTTCTAATGAGTACCTCAAATTTGGGTACACTGCGTACTGGAGTCAGATCACCAGTTTCATCATTGCGACGCGGCACACTTTTGCTAACATTGAAGAATATGTTAATCCGCTCGTGCGGCGACTCTCTGATAAGCTCCACCTTGGAACCAGAAAAATGACCTGTGAAATCGTCTATCATGTATGGCGGCTCCAATTGCAATTGGACGCGGCGTTCCTCCAGTATTTCGCCCGTTACAAACTCAACCAAATTACGTTGTGTTGGGGTTAGGCCAATTGGCGTTGCTGCTGCCTGTTTTTCCTCTATTGGCAATGGCTTCTTTAAGGCTTCACCCTTCAAATTTTGGTACTGAAATGCACTTATCGAAATGGGGCGTTGGAATTTGGCGATGCGACAATTGGCCAACAGGCTTTGTCCCAAACGAAATACCTTGAGAGAAATCGACATTTTTGGAAATTAAAAAAAAAAAAACAGACGAAAAATTATATTTTCTTTAGGATTATGTGTACGAAAAAAAACTTTTTTTTTTTTCAGATAAGCCAGAAAAATTTTGTAATGCTACAAGGCTAGCAAGTCAACGAATGATCTGGATATTAGGTACACCCAGAGCTCGACTGAATTTGACATAAAACTCCAGGCTTGCTTAGGAATTTGCTAAAACACACATTTGCGATAGTGAGTACGATTATTTGAACTTTTTAATTTCTGTGTATCGATCATTATACAGTTTTCAGTTTCCAGTTTTCAGTTTTCAGTATTCCACTCTTCTTTGTTTCTTTCATCGTGTCTACATGTGAGTGAGTGTTAAGGCCAGAATGTGAGTGTTAAGGCACGCACGCACCCACACATGGTGTATGAAAGTTGTGGAGCGACAGAGTGGGAAGTGGGAAGCGAGTTGATACAACAATTACAGACATACATACATACATACATATACATATACATATACATGTATATAACATACAAATAAATAACGTGTATGTGTGCGATAAGTGCGTGTGCTTGTGAAATAAAGGAATGCTAATTAGTTGGGCGATGTATTGCGTTTCGGCGTCGATGGCGGCAAGTCCATTGTCTTGCACACCCAGCCCGATATATCAACATCCTCCACCTCCGCTTTACGTATCCATGGATGACTCTAACAATGGCAATGTAAATAAGAATTTTTTATTAATAGTAATAACAACAACATGATGCGTGAAAATAAACTTTGTCTCACCAGCAACGTCTTGAGATCAGCCCGCTCATCTGGCTGCTTTTTGAGGCATATGTCGACAAAGTCCTTGAACTCATTGGAGAATATCTTGTGCTCCAGCTTGGGCGGCGGCTCGTTAACAATATAATCGAGAAGCTCAAAGATTGCCATTACTTTTGGCTCAATCACTGTTGGATTGCCATCGTCGGCATTGTCGGCGAATATGGCCTCCAGCGTGGCGCTGTCCGGCGGAGGTATTGGATACATGCCGATAGCCATCTCAACGAGGGAAAGGCCAAGGGACCAAATGTCTGACTGAACCGAATAGTGTGTGCCCTGAAGTCGCTCTGGCTGCAAAGATAACAGATTAGAATTCGATCTATGCAAGTTTTAGTTTCCATTTCAATTCTACTTACCGACATATAGCTGCGCGTGCCCACAAATGAGTTGGCCATCGAATCGATTAGTTGTCCCGAAACGCCGAAATCACAGATTTTGATCTCGCCGCTGCTATTGACGAGTATGTTGCTAGGCTTCACATCCCGATGGATAATCGCATGCTTGTCCCGCAGATAGCTGAGGCCCTTCAGCACCGCCAAGGTGATGCGTCCGAGTATTGATTCAGGTATGCGGCCGGCCCGTTTCAATATGAGATCAAGAGAGCCGCCGTCCATGTACTCCATGCAAATACTTATCTCGCCATCGCTGTAGAAGGCTCCATAGAATCCAACGATGTGCGGGAAATTGCATTCGTGGAGCACTTTGAGTTCGCGCAGTATTTGTTTTTTAATCGCTGGCTTCACCTCCAGATGGATCAACTTTCTGGCCATTATTAAATGTGTGAGGGTGTGGCGCACTTTCATCACAACGCCACCGTTTCCAGAACCGAGCTCGCCTAGTTTCTCTAGATCCTCCTCGGAGAGTTCGCCGATCTTTTCCTTTTGACTGAGGAACACTTTGATTCGTTTGCGTTCCGTGTCGTCCATATCGAGGCCCTCCAGTGTTTCCGTTAATGCGTCGATGCTTGTTTTTGGCTTTCCCAGCAAACTATTTGTACTTTAATTTAACTTTTTAATGAATTTTTGCAGAACAAAACGAAAAGTGCTAACATTTTGGATAGGAGCATTTTCAGTGGTTTAAGGAATCAGAATGAATTCTGCACGCATTTGTATCTATACACACGCATACATGTACACACGCATATATACATACATATGTTCATGTGTATGTACATGTAGGCGTTCTTATGCGTGTTTAATTATTATATGTTCGTAGTGGGTGCGTCATATTGACAAGCAACAGCAATATCAATACGAACAACAACACCAACAACAATAAACACAGATCTGTCTCTATGCATTGTGGGCGGATGGGAGGCATAAAATAAAAAAAAATTGCAAAATGTATATACAGAAAATTAAATCATATTTACTCTGTTCCCGATGCTGTTTTAAACGGTGGTGTTGGTGCCACCTGCGCGGCAGCAACAGTTGCATCCACATTTACCGGCGGCAGAACTAAATTTAGTTTATTCTTCGACATCTTGGCACTGCTCCACAGCAAAAAAAAGTTTCTATCGGTCGTGGCTCACCGATGGTGCAAAGGGTGGGGAAGGTGGGAGGATTTCCGTTTAGCAGCAGTCACCGAGCGATTATGCAAATTGTGTAACTGGCTATAAACAGTGAATGGGTACTTGCTTTATAAGGATTCAATATTGCAGTTATAGCCGGAGATTTCGCAAATGCTAATAATAGGGATGTAAGTACCAATAATTAAACCGATTGTTGCGTCAAATCGATTCATCGCAAAGAGCAATCGATTGCATGTGCTGTTCGAGGCACATAAGTGCAACAATTGTGAATGGCAAAAACAATCTGCAATTTATTGTTGTTTAAAACGGTAAACACAAAACGTGACCTTGCACTTTATTACGTACTGGGCACGACTTGTGGCAACCAGAAATGAAGGATTCGCTGGTGCCATCCAACGACTGCAGTGGAGAGACAATTATTAATAACACCGACTATCAGAAAGACGCGATATTTAGTTATGTGCTCAACCTGCAGGATGAACAGCTGGACAATGCTGTGATGCAGCTGCAGGCTGCAGCAGAGGAACTGAGTCACAATGATAAGAGCAATGGGGACTATCATCAATTGTCGCTCAACTGCATCGATGATTTATTGCCCACTGATGGGGCGTCATCGGCATTATCTGAATGCTATCAATTCGATGCAGACGCCGCTGCCGCTGCCTCTGAGTTGGTTAACGTAGCTAACAAGGATTGCGACTCATTGGCTAAGCTGGCCTACAATCTATATCGCTTGGCCAAGGACGATCACATCGTTATCGACCGGTAAATGAGATTTCTCCCATGTTTATCAAAGTCTAACATATTTCATGAACTTTTGCAGTAAGCGAAATGAGGTCGTCCGGACGGACGCCGTGACTAACCAGAAGACCATCTATCGTTGCATGGATCCCGTTGGCATGGGCATGCAGCCGGCTAGTAACAGTCGTTCCACGGCGATATCTGCGTCAGCATTCAACAAAGCCAACGCCTCACGAAAACGCCGGGCGCCAACTGTTGCAGCAACATCGAAAAGAACGGCAGCAATCGCTGCACCGAGCGGAGCTACAAGCAGTACTGTGACCGAACCAACTCCAGCTGCAGATGCAGATTCAATGCTGCGCACGCGATCTGGGCGCATAATTCGTGCAGCCTTGCCTCAGGAGGCCACATCAGCTGAAGGAGAAACGTTGGATTTGCTTGTAGCCGATTTACGGGACAGAGATTATCGTGCACCAGTTACAGCGGCTGCGGCACCATCTATGGCAGCAGTTGACCATTCGGTGCCCAAGGAGCGTGCCGTGCCACAGGACGCAATTTGTCCGGGCTGCAACAAGATATTTCTGGGGCGTCGCTTGCAGCGTCATTACGTCAAGTATCCCGACCATATGCCCAGTGTGATCGTTCATCAGCAACAGCAGCAGCAACAGCAGCAGCAACTACAACAACAGCAACTACAGCAGCAGCAACTACAACAGCAGCAACTGCAACAACAACAGCAGCAGCAACAATTGTTGCAGAGCAATGTGCCCACACTGTTTGGCCTTTTGACTGGTCAACTGCAGAGACACGCCCATCTCAGCGAGGAACAACGTGCCGATCTCTTCCTGCATGAGCTGAACGACTTTGTGGAGCAGCTGCAGTTGCGCAGCACTCGACTCATCCGTAACACGTCGGGCTCGCACTTTGTGAACGCGCGCATAGCACGCGTGCTGGGCATACCCGAGGGTCAGTATGCGCTCGATATGTCGGCAATGGAATCGGCGCAGGCGCCCACACCGGAGCCGGAGACGCATGCGAGCACTGTGGCCAGTGCACGCAATCTGGTTGAATATCCAGGGCTCAGCATGTCATTAGATGATACGCTGACCGACGAGGCTGCTCAACGATTGAATTTGTCCGCTGGCGGCAAATTGTTGCCCCCGTCCGAGGAGAGTCTATTGCGTAACGTTGGCGATGATCTGATGCCGCCCCCGGTGGCCGTGGCCCCACCCGCCGTCGGCCATGCAGCGAGTGCAATGCTGCCGCACTACGATCATGCCAGCGACAATGCCGTCGAGGCGCTCAGCATGAAAGAGACGCCCAATGCGGCCATATTGGATCTCAATGTGGACTTCTTTCAATTCAACAACAATTAGTCAACTGCAAATATATGTATATACGCATATGTTTGCGGATGACTTTATTTTAACATATATATATATATATACGTAATTAGAGTATTGTATGAATGTAAATAGCATGAACAATTAGATATAAAATGAATCTTTGCATGAAATGTACCTCAAATCTCTAGAGACTTAATGTTAGACTCGAGGAAAAGTTTGTGTAGCTAAACAATTGTGAGAAGCTTTATGGAAACCCTTTTGAAAACCTATATGAAGATTGTATATATGAATATAGAGATGTTTTGAAGACAACTTGGCGGAAATTTATATATGTGTATATATGTATGTATATCTATATCTAGCTGATCTGTAAGGTCTGTTCGATTTTAATTTCGATTTCTATTTTTCGTGTTAAACAATTAGTTACACGCTATTTATAGAGACATAGAAACAGACCCGAACAGTTTACAATTTATTTGATTTCTGGCTACATTTTCGCACTACATTATTGCCTTGCCAATCCAAGTCCGAAAATTCAAATCCAAACGAATCTCGAGCGGCCGTAACTTATGTCGCTGTCTTGCCTTTGAGTTGTTCATTTTTGTTTTCTTTTGTTTTAAGTTTTGCGCTCTAGTTTTTAGTATGCCTCTTTCATTTTAGTTGTTATTGTTTATATTGTGTACTCGTATTTTATGCCCTCAGCTATTTCGGGAGCAGCCGCAGCATGTGGCTGCGGTCGCTGATTGTTGGCTATCTGTGGGACATGGAGAGGCGACTGCATGCGTTATGTCGATAGAGCTCCATTGGCAAACACACTCTTGGCTCCTGCCCCACCCCCCCACCCGTTGGGCATGTGCATTAAGCGGCGTTTGCCGTGGCTGCAACCACAGCCAATTCAATTTGGCTATTTGGCGCCGGCCATATTTGCCAAGGGTCAATATGATTAGGGCTGATGAGCGGCGATTGAATCGAAGTGTTTGACGAGCCACCTATAAATGGAGCTTGCGTGCCGAGCCGTGCAGTTAGTTGCAACATGAGATTCCAAGGGGATAGCAAAGTGCAACGGTTCCACCTGGCGGCCAACAGGCAGCAGCGCCATCAGAAGCTCAGTCACAGTCACAGTGATGACTCCATGGATGAGGAGCAGACCATGTGCAGCCGCGAGGCAGCCGAGAAGAGCATTAAGTATTATCTGAAGAACAGCTCACTGCACGGGCTCAAGTATATAGCCGAAGAGAGTATTACCATACCAGAGCGGTAAGTGGGATAATTCTCCGAATTCAATCTAAGTAGAGATAACTAGAGAACGTAACTGGAAGTTTTGATCGAGTCAAACTGGAGTAGATCACCAAACAGAGTGAGAGAATTATATGGTAGGTGAATGAGTGAGGAAGGTAGAGGGGGAGAGAGAGAGGGATGAGATGAGTGAGTGAGTAAGAGAGAGAGTGGGAAAAAGAGCGAAGGATAGCAGGTGAGAGATGGAGATAGATATACGAAAAAAATAGAGACAGACAGATCAATAAATGAGAGTTGAATATATAGGGAATTAGAAAGAGTGGTAGACAGAGAAAAAGAGAGAAAGAGAGAGAGAGAGAAAGAGATAGAGAAAGCGTGTGTGAAGAAGGGAGAGGTGTAGAGAGATGGGAAGATAGAGGGAGAGTAAGTAAGACAGATAGAGAGGATAGGCGAGACAGAGAGATAGAGTAAGAGAAAGAGAGAGAGAGAGAGATGACGAGATAGAGAAAAAAGGAGCTAAAGAGGAAGAGATTGCGAGCTAGGAGGAGAGAGAGTAAAAGAGAGACAGAGAGAGAGTAAAGAACAGAGAGCTAGAGAGGGAGTGTGAAGATGGGAGAGAAAGAGGGACAGATTGTATATCAGAGTGAGACAGAGATAAGTTCAAGCCCTGAGCGGAGATCATGTTCAGTTCGATCGAATCATTACCAATAAATGCATTTGTACGCCAATTAAAATGAATATACGTACATACATATGTATACATGTATGAATATATGTATGTAAATGTAAATAATATTATCAATAAACGATGCCAGCGTTTTCTTTGGCATATCCTTCGTGCTGGTGGTCATTCTGTCGGGCTTCTTCATATCGAACATTTACATCAAATGGAGCGCCTCGCCCATCATCATCTCGACGAGCGCCAAGCAGCAGCTGACGAGCAACATTCCCTTTCCGGCTATAACCATATGTAACCTGAATCAGGCGCTGCGAAGTCGGGTGCAAAGCATCTCCAGGTAAGATATGCGAGGAGAAGATGAGCCTGCTCTTCATTTCCCCTTTCCCATTGTCTTTTCTCCCCTTAGCACCAGCAAGAACTATTCATTGCTTATGAATCTGTGCAGCAAGGACTACGATCAGACCATCACGTACATCGGCACCTGGACGTACTTCAAGGCGCTGCTGGTGGAGGTGGCCCAGCCATGCGACGAGATGCTGCTCCATTGCAGCTTCGGCTCACGCAAGGAGATCTGCTCGACCATTTTCAATTCCATACTGACGGACGACGGACTGTGCTGCACGTTCAATGCTCTCGATCCCATCTATTTGTTTCGCAACTACACGGACGATGTGCGCATCGAGCCGGCGGCTGAGAATTCAAAATTCAAGGCCATTGACTGGACGCCAGAATCGGGCTATGCCAAGAATTTGCCGGAGTTTTACTACCCCCGGACATCTGGCGGCACGGGCAGTCGCATGGGACTCACCGTCGTATTGAATGCCTCGACTGCCGAATATTACTGCACCAAGTCCATGGGCAATGGCTTCAAGGTGACCCTTTACCGTTGTCTCTCTCATTTACTCTCGCTATGTCCGTGCTTGAATTTGCATTGTTTTTCTGTCTCTGTCTGCATGTTTCTCTGTCCTATCCCATCTTTTTCATTCTCTTTTACTCTCTTTCTATTTTCAACTCCTTGTCTCTTTCTCGTTTCCTCTTTCTATTTCTCAATCTCCACATATATATTCATCTCTCTCTTATTTACATTTTCTCTGTGTTCCTCTTTCCTTTTATCTTTTCTCTTCGATTCCATGCCTCACTTTCCTTATCTTCTCCTTTCTCAATTTTGTTTCTTTTATGTTCCTCCATTTCTCCTTCTCTCTCTCTCCCTCTCTCCTCTCTCTTCCTGATTCCCCCCCTCGACTTCTCGCCTCTTCTCCCGCTTTCCCCCTCTCTCTCTCTCTCTCTTTCTCTCCCTCTGTCTTTCCAGGTGCTGGTCCACAATCCCGCCGAGCTGCCCAAGGTGACCAACTATGGATTTGTGGTTAGCGCCGGCCGCGAGGCACGCATACCCATCGAGCCGGTCTACGAGGATGCCACGCCCAGCATACGTTCGATCAAGAAGGCGGTGCGCCGCTGCCTGTTCTCGGATGAGAACGATCTGTCCTATTATCGCACCTACTCCCGCAAGAACTGTGAGCTGGAGTGCGAGGCGAAGCTGCTGCTGCGCGAATGCAGCTGTGTGCTCTACTATCTGCCCCGGATAGATCCGGCGGCCCGTGTCTGTGGGCCCAACGATAACAACTGCACGAATCGGGTGCAGACGGAGATCGAGTCGTCGAAGACGAATCTCTCCTGCGAGAACTGCTGGCCGGGCTGCTTCGAGCTCACCTACAAGTCGGTCATGAGCAGCTCGACGATTGTGGCCGGGCCCAGCTACCAGAATGGGGAACAGCTGCCGGAGCGTCTCTTCAATGCCAGCCAGAATGGCAATGTCAACGACCTAGCCATCCTCCACTTTTACTATCTCAACAACAACTTTCGCAGCACTACGAAATCCGAAATGTTTGGCTTCACCGAGTTTCTGTGTAAGTCCAGGTCCAGGTCCAGGTGCAGGTCCAGGTCCAGGTCCAGGTGCAGGTCCAGGTCCAGGTCCAGGTCCAGGTCCAGGTCCAGGTCCAGGTCCAGGTCCAGGTCC